ATCATGTATGTAAAAAACGGCGTAAAAACGATCCGTTAACTGCTTGGTAACGGCCTATTTACGGTCAAAAGCATCTCTGATCATGTATGTAAAAACCGGCGTAAAAGCGGTTGGATTTTTTCAAATTTCTAACTGTTGAATGTTGTCGACTTAATGGTGTCCAGTGTTTCTAATCGCAAGGCGTACTCACTGTGTCAAGGCGTACATACGCTTCGGAATTTAAAAATACGCTGTTTTACGCTTTGCTGAGAAAAGGAGAGCGCATAGTGTACGCTTTGCTATCGCTGTTTACGCTTTGTTTTCTAATAAACGTTTTTTTATATTAAGAGAAAATAGGAAAAAATTGTTTAATTGTCTTTACGTGAGTAGTCAGATAGGAAAAGAGACTTTTCTTGTTATATAAAAGATGTTTTTCCCTGTTTGTGATTGTCGGTGTCTGCAAAGTTACTTTCTACGAAAACAACCTGTTTGAAGAAAGGCGTATAGCGTCTGCATTGTTTTTTGAGTGATCAGATCATACTGTTAAGGAAAATTTAGAGATTTTGAATGAAATTCATACTGTTTGAGAAAATTTTCAGATTTTGTAGGAAATTATTAAACTAATAGACAAAATTTTGAAGTTGATGAAGTGATTTGATTTTCTTTTTTTTGATTGATGAATTTGATTTCTCATAATGGAAAATCAATTTGTTTGTATGTTTATATGACAATAATCTGTTTAATTTCTTTAAAGGAGAAGTATCGAACTGAACAATTTTTATCATGTGGAATGCTATTGCTGATGTAGCTGCAGACACTAAACGTGCAGAACGAGAAGATTTTAACAAACGACGTAGTCGTCGTACTAAGTTGTGTATGGTAAAAGAAATGGATTCATCATTATCATCTAAAATGACTACAACAGCTGACTATGCACCTATGGATGTTGAAGTATTAATTGATATAGATGTAGACCCAGAAGATAAATCAGATTATCTAGCTGATATATGTACTAGTAATGGAGATGATAGTGACGATATTTATAATAATATATTTGAAAAACTTGGTTTAGACAGTAATTTATTAATGCATGATGACCATGATACTAACAGATGGTATGTACGTAATTTAAGACCATTACATCCATATACAAACGTAACAACAGGTGAAACATGCGAAAATCTTTTACGAATGAACAGAAAATCGTCTTTATCAAAAACAACAATGAATGAAATATTGACAGAATTTTCTAAAGCTCTTCCAGTACCACATAATTTACCTACATCGTTTGATAATTTATTAAATTGTATGAGAATTTTAGATCTTTTTTGTAAAAAAGTTCTGTGTTCATTGTGTTATCAAGAGCTTGATAAAGAAAAAAAGACATGTATGAACAGTAGCTGTCAACAATTTCAGTCATCTAAAGCTGAAACACATATAGTTTTTTCTGGCGATATAAAACGACTTTTAACGTATATTGTTTCTAGAACTTTAAAAGAAATCGATGGTTATAAAATAATGATAAATGATGACGTTTTTTTAAAATATGATGATGACATAGTTTCTGGTGAAAAATATCAAAATTTGTTGAAAAGTCAATCAGATGGTTTGTTCATTACTTTGATTATACATCCAGATGGATTGCCATTAGTCAAAACAACAAAGTTGAGTTTATGGGCACTTTCAGCATCCATTGTTGAACTTCATCCACAATTAAGACAACGTAGGCGCAATATGATGTTATTGTCGGCTTGTATTGGTAATGGTAAACCGGATGTTTTTGGGTGGTTAAATTCTGTTGTAGAACAATTGATGGATTTGAAGCTTCGTGGTATTGTAATAAGAACGGAAACGAACGAAGTACGTCATTATTCCTGTTATTTTCATGGTATTGTTGGAGATTTACCAGGTCTTGCTTTTGTTTTAAATTTCAAAGGTCATACAGGTTATTTTTCTTGTTTCTTTTGTTTTTTGGAAGGAATTAGAAATGGTAAAATGTTGTTTCCATATACATCTCCACTTTTACTTCGTACATCTGATGATTGGTGTCGTGATTCTGAAGAAGCTGTTCGTAAAAAAGAAAATGTATTGGGTCACCATGGAATATCTCCTATTGCTGATCTTTTTGATGGAGATTTGCCAAATTCAATTATGATTGATTATTTACATGCCAGTCTCTTGAGACATGTAAAAACAGTTGTAGTAGAATTGACAAGTAGATTGTCGAAAAATGATTGCAAAAAGTTGGATGAATTATTGAAATCGCAAAAATTTCCTCATTTCTTCAATAGGAAACTACGTGGTGTACTGGATGTTTCGTATGTAAAAGCAACAGAATGGAGGAGTTTAGTTTTGTATGCGCTATTGCCGAAGTTTTTGCCATTTTTTGATGATGATATTGTAGCTTATTTAAGTCTTTTTGTTTGTGCATTACGCTGTTTACATGGAAGTCCATTAAATCAAATTTCAAGACGTTCACGAGAAGAAATATCTGCTGTTTTAATCGATCTCTATTTAAAATTTCATTCAGAATACTTTGTTGATCAAGAAACATTAACTTGTCATCTTCATGCACATTATCCACGTCAATTTGGTCGTCATGGCAATGTTAGTTGTGCAGCAACATTTTCATTTGAAGATTTTCTTGGAAGTGTTGGTTCATCATATCATGGTTCAAGAAGTATTGGAGCTCAGCTTGTTTTATATTATAATATTGATGTTTTTTTACAAGATGATGTCATTTATGAAGATGGCGTTGTTGATTATTCAAAAACATTGCCTGTTGATTGTATTGATCGTTTTGAAGTTGTTGATGAAATTGTTGTACAGTGTCATCGGCGATTGTGTAATTGTGATAATGTAAATTCTTGTATTTCTGTTTTTCGTCGTCATTTCATCCGAGGATTTATGTATCATTCATTGTTATATAATAAGCGTCAGACATCCGTCAGTTATTTTGTAGCAGATCGTAATAATAATGATCAATTAAATTTTGGAAAAATTCTTCTTTTTTTTAAATTAAAAGATAAAATGTTTTCACTTATCGAAAGTTATGAAGAAAAACATAAATTTTCAGATTTTTTTATTAATACACGATTTTATAATAATATTTGTAAAGTAATAGATTTATATTTTTTTGTTGTACAAAAAATATCATGTCATGTAAAAAGAGTTGTGCCTGTTCAGTCTATTTTACGTCATTGTATTGTGTTTGATAGTAATGATGCTTTAGTCGTTACGCCAGTCTCGAGACTGGATGAACACGATTAATCGTCATTTGCAAACTAGTTTTGTATAATCATAATAATTGTGTGGTAGAAAGTTATATGTTTTTTTGTAATAGTTTTAGATTTTTTGCTTCTTCGTTTGTAAATACTTCCTGGTTGTTCAAACTGTATACCGTGTATGGCACTAAAAGCTCCAAAATAGTGCAATCATGTAATTGCTATTTCTATCTTTGCTTCTTGATTTCGCTTACAGGACTAAAACTAAGTTAACTATTTCATTTCACTGAATGAAATAGAATCAAATACCATCGACTAAAATAGTCAAATACCATAGACTTTTTCTAGCGTTAGAATTTTTGAATAACTCTGAGCTTAGAACATCTTTCGCTAAAGCATAGGTTATTTTGTCGATAAGTATATAAGAACAATTTTATTTGTTCTTGTTTTAGATATTTAACTATATTTCACAACCATGGCTACAGCTACACAAAGTGATAAACGTAAAAAAAAACCAACTCATCCGTACACACCACCTAATCGTGTACCAAGTGATCATTTCTTAGTGAATTTTTCGTCAATAAAACAAATGAAAATAGTACCAAGATCATCAATTAGAAGATTGACAGAAACAACAACAACTGTTTTACATAACAAACAGGAAATAATTGGCAAAATTCTTTGTAGTGGCAAGTTAATCTATTTATTTGACTGTTTTCTATTCTTCTCTAATTTTTATCAGTTATCTATCCAAAAATTGTAGGTACAAACGAACAATGTGTAAAATTTTGGAATGAAAGTATGGCTGCTATACGTACGTACACAATAATAAATCAATCACAATTTTCTTTCATAGCTCGAGTAAATTTTTGGAACTTTACTCATTTTATAAATTGAAGAAACAAATGTTTTCTACCGCAAAATGTTTTTTTTCCATAATAGTCTTAGACACAAGAAACATCTGTATGGTATCAGTCTAGCTTTTGCTCTTTAGAAATATATGTGTTTATTTTTAGGTGATATTAGTCCTGTAGCACCAGTAAATGAAGATATTGGTGATGATGACGATGGCGAAGATGATGATGAAACAGATGAAAGTATGTAGGATTATTTTTACACTTTTCTTTTATTATACAGTTAGTTTATTTCATCTTTTCAAGGTATACCAAGTGCACAAATACCAGCAACAGCAATAGTTTCATTAAATCCATCTACGCAAGATAAAGATGAAGATGAACAAATTACACGTAAGTTTGTGACAGCACTTGAAAGAAACTTATGATTGATTTATTATTTTGTATGTAGAGTATGTCAATAAATCATTCGAAATGTTATAATGAAACAGTGCAGAAATTACTTTCATTTGATGATTAGTTAGCGCTGTGCTTAAACTTTTTTTGTGCTTACGCTTCCATCAAAGTATGATCTAGAGAACGTTATGTCCAAATATCATGAAATTTCCAGGATATGTTAGATATTTTACGGAATTGATATAGAAAAATTTTCAGCCCTATATTATGACACCTTTCCGAGATATTCATCAATCAAGGGCGAAAAATATCCTATTTTTGAAACAAGAATGCTCTGATACCCTGCACTGTAGACAATTTTTTTTTTTGTTCGATAGAGGACATCTAAATACATGCTCTTATAGAGCTCTTTTTTTAATTTTTGCATTGCTTATGTGGGACAGGGCATACAAGCTGAATACTCACAAAAACGTCGATAAAACCCCTAGCAGGTTTCGAGCGTTTCTTTTGTTACAGTGCAAATCTACAAAGAAAACTTCTTTTTACATTGTAAGATTAATTCTTGGCACATTGTAGATCTACAAAAACAAAAACATAATCCAACACAACATCATGATGATGAAGATGAAGAAAATCGACAACATTTTTCAAGAAATAATTCAACAAGTTTATTAGAAAAATCAATGTTAGAACAATTTTCTTCTATCAGTCGTCAATTAGCATCTATAGCGAAAAATACGAAAGAATTAGTATGTGCCTACAGTCCATTCAAAAATAAGAAGGACTTTTTGGAAAATCGCGCAACTTTTGAATGAAACGATAAAACTATTGTGTTTTCATAATTTTTTGACAAACCGCCCGTCCTCTATCCGAGTTTGATGATGTCGTAGATGTAGCATAAGTGCTACATGAAAAATGACGTTATTTATGGCAGCTTTTAACTAATGAAAGCCCATCTAAAAGTGCCTCGAATTGTGTTAGTGTCAGATTTTTTTATCTGTTGTCATTATGTCAACACAAGGCTAAGAAGTTGTGCGTCTATGTTTATATGAGTTATTTTACTATATTTTCTATCGTTCACTATGTTTTTTGTAGAAAATGTCTTGTATGAAACCCCGAATATCTGTCTGCTATCTACTAACAATGCATAACTACCTAGACTTTTATTACTAAAAATTAAAAAATATAAACAATAACATGCACATATAGACACACAACTTCGTAAACTCGTATCGACATAATGACATATGATAAAAAAACTGAAAGTCACACAATTCGAGTCGGTTTTAGATGGGTTTTCAAACTTGGTATGACTCGTTTAGTTTTATTAGTTAAAACTGATATAGATAACGTGATTTTTTTACGTCAATTTGCACAACATCTACGAGATCATCAAACTCTGATAGAGAATAGTTGATTAACCAAGCAAAAAAGAATTTTTTGGAGCTAGCTTAAGCTAGCTAGAAGGAACATTTACCTAGCTTCAGCTAGCTTATTGTTCCTTTTTAGCTAGCTTAAGCTAGCTACAAAGAATTTTGTTTTGCTTGGGTAGTCAATAAATTGAAAACAGAATATTTTTATCACGTTTTATTCAAAAATTATTCGAATTTCCAAAAAAGCCTCTCTTATTTTTGAATGAACTGTATCTATTTTCACAATAAAAAAATGTCATCTCTCTGCATGTTCTTTTGTGTGTAGATGAATAAAAGAAAAAATGAATTTGATATGGATGATAATAGTAATCAACCAAAAGAATTTGTATGTACCTTATGTTAGTTAAAACCAATTTATACACAATGGCCGTATCGTGGCTACAATCATTGTTTTTCCCTTTTAGACTTGGTCAAGTGAAAATGGATCTATTAATCTATTAGCAATTGGTGGAAAAGATCCTGCAGAATATGGGCGACGGGTATTAAAGGCATTGTTTTCAGAATATGATCTTCGCCTAAAATCGCAGTGTAGGGTTGGAATCGTAAAAGGCAGTGTTCTGTATTTAGTTTTTCACGCTGATTCCGAATATCATCCCGTTGGTCTTCCAAAGTTTTCGCGGACTGAGATATTGCATTTTTTTTGAAAAATTATGATTGTTCAAAAAAAGAGCACCTCACAATGTTTTGAAATTTTCTCCATGAAGAAGTGGACTAGAGAGGTTAAAAGGGACATATTCGTGATCCTTGGCTTCTGGACTATCCAGCTATGTGTGTTTGAATTAAAAACAAAATGGTGTGGAAACTTCGAATTACGTGCGCCTTAAGAGAAAAAAGAAAAGTTTTAAAGGATGGTAAGTCCCGCAGAAAGACTGACCGAAACGTTTCTCTTTTGTGCACATTTGAAATAAGAAAGAGTAGGACGTGTCATACTCTAGCTACTCTGATGTATGCGCAATAGTGAAATTTAAAATACGGTTAGGACAAATAAAAAACTCATAGAGCATAGAAAACACTGTTTATGCATTAGTCATACTACGTACAGTGTACTTAAACTAATTTTCGTGCGATTGACTAAAGTACCCAGCAATGTATCTGATTTTCATTTTTTTTCTTTCGTTTCAGAAGCAATTAGACATAAATTTAAAATTACCGAAAATTCATTTGAGGTATATTATGAAAGTGTTTTATTACCATCATTTAGAGATTTACTTACGAATACAAGAGCGAAATTTATAAAAAGTGGACAAGTAGAATAAACATGAAAAGACATTTGTTTGCCATATATATCTTATGTTCTTATTTTTGTACTGTATATTTTATTTTATTAAATTGATTTTAAACTTTATTTTTTTGTTTTGCGTAAACATTGTTTCTTAACCATTACTTTTTGTCTATAAATGTTTGTAATAAACGTATTGTTAATGATAACTCGAAAAACCTCTACTTGGTGACTGTTAAACGTGTACAAGTGGTC